ACTTTTGATTCATTGACTCGTAATAAGCTACTTTCCAAATCATTCTTGATAACCAAGTTTGTTAAGAACAATTTATCTCTATAACATCCAGCACGATTATAAATATTACCATGCAAAACATATGCTATAATCAATTGTCCTATTTTATTTCATCTTTTTGAATGTTGTGATGAACGTATTGTATCTTTTTTATCCAGGAAAGAAAATTTCTAAAATTACAAATGCAAAACCTTTTATCAGTTACTGTGTTGGCGCAACCGTAGAACTTTATTCATGTAATGATGGATGCTGTAAGTTTAACATTACATTGTATTACACATTCGGATTATCAATTATGGTTGGGAGTCTATATAGTCATATTTTTAGTCATCTGCCAATCATCATCCAGCAATAACTGAATAACGATCAATCAGATCCTCAAACCAATGTCACGTGCCAAAACAATTATGACTCTCCTCGCCGTTTCACCAATTTATCTGATATCATATTTTATTTGATCGTTATAAATTACGTAACTAATATTTTTATTCTTATTAGAAGTAGAACTTGGAGATTATGATTTCCTTTCTTGTTATAAAGGCTTCGTTTTAGTTTCAGTGATGAGCATGGTGGCACAAGTCGGAATTACAATTGCAGCAATTGTTTTCGCTGGAGTGGTTATCGGAACTGTGGTTTTCATAATCCGGCGAAAAAGGGTAAAATCGCTAACTGCTCCAGTTCAAGGTAGATACTAGATAATATAATTTAAAACTAATAAAAGATCACTATTATTACATTTTGTCGATCCAAATCGAATTATTATTTCTTGATATGTTACTCAGACTCTAAAAATAATACAATCGCTTTTATTCAATGAAGATGCATATTTTAATTACACTGTTTTCAAATTCTTATCGCTCCCCCATAAATATCTGTATGTTACTGTTAGATCGTAAGATTCTGCTTATAATAATTTTCCTTTCAGTTGATCCTGATTCTATTTTGAAATCAACAGTGTTGTCTCAACTTCCGGTCGCTTCTAGCAAGGATAAGTGTCATGACTATAACAGTAGTCATGACTACTCTTCCTCCGCAGATTCTGATGGCCCTTGTCACTTGTATGAAACTGAAACTGAGTTTGAGCACGCCTATGCGACCTATAACATTAAGAAAATTGAAAACTAACTTAAGTTCTATGTCATCATTTTTTTATTATTTTTGGTATGCTTACTGAATAAGTGAATTTGGTTGAATAATTTTCATTTAAACCCCCAGTTTTGATCTGACACATGTGTTGAATTGTAAAGATCTTCCTAATTTCTAGTTTATAATATCTAATTTCTTATTTCTATGTGATGGTGCACTAACTTACGTGGCTACGCTACATAACAATTGCAATGGTAATGGTACCAGGGTAGAACTAAAGATTTCAGGAGCCGTCATATCTGCTGATGGAACCCTGGATAAAATCTGGATAGTAGGGATAGGATTGGCAAGGCAGCGGGCGCCTTTAACTCTTTGACTTTTGAGTCTTTTTCCCGTGTCTGGTACAACGCAACCGTAACATCCTGACATAACATGCCAACAGAGATCAGAATCTACAAAGCTGCTGTACTAACAGTATTGCTTTACGGAAGCGAGACATGTGCACCGTGTTATATAGAGTGTTATGTAGAGGTGTTATGTAGAGTGTTATGTAGAGTGTTATACATAGTGTTATGTAGAGGTGTTATGTAGAGGTGTTATGTAGAGTGTTATGTGGAGGTGTTATGTAGAGGTGTTATGTAGAGTGTTATGTAGAGTGTTATACATAGTGTTATGTAGTCATAGAGTGTTATGTAGAGGTGTTATGTATAGTGTTATGTAGTCATAGAGTGTTATGTAGAGGTGTTAAATAGAGTGTTATGTAGAGGTGTTATGTAGAGGTGTTATGTAGAGGTGTTATGTAGAGTGTTATGTAGAGTGTTATGTAGAGTGTTATGTAGAGGTGTTATGTAGAGTGTTATGTAGAGTATTATGTAGAGTGTTATGTAGAGGTGTTATACATAGTGTTATGTAGAGGTGTTATGTAGAGGTGTTATGTAGAGGTGTTATGTAGAGGTGTTATGTAGAGGTGTTATGTAGGAGGATGGTTATGTAGAGTGTTATGTATAGTGTTATGTAGAGGTGTATGTAGAGGTGTTATGTAGCGTGTTATGTAGAGGTGTTATGTAGAGGTGTTATGTAGAGGTGTATGTAGAGTGTTATGTAGAGGTGTTATGTAGAGTGTTATGTAGAGTGTTATACTAGTGTTATGTAGAGTTAATGTAGAGTGTTATGTAGAGTGTTATGTAGAAGTGTTATGTAGAGTGTTATGTAAGTGTTATTAAAGTGTTATGTAGAGTGTTATGTTAGTGTTATGTAGAGAGTGTTATGTAGAGGTGTTATGTATAGTGTTATGTAGAGTGTTTATGTAGAGGTGTTAGTTAGAGGTGTTATGTAGAGGTGTTATGTAGAGTGTTATGTAGTTTGTTATGTTGTAAGAGGTGTTCTGTAGAAGAGTGTTATGTAGAGGTTATTATGAGTGGTAATGTAGAGTTTATGTAGTTAGAGTGTTATGTAAGTGTTATGTAGAGTGTTATGTAGAGGTGTTATGTAGAGTGTTATGTAGGGGTGTTATGTAATGTTATGTAGAGTGTTATGTAGAGTGTTATAGGTAGAGTGTTATGTAGAGGTTATTAGTTAAGAGTGTTATGTAAGTGTTAGTAGTGTTATTTATTGTTATGTAAGTGTTATGTAGTTAGGGTTTTTTTAGGGTTAGTGTTATTATGTGTTATGTAAGTTTTATGTAGGGGTGTTTGTAGAGTGTTATGTAGAGTTTAGTAGAGTGTTATGTAGAGGTTATTATGAGAAATGTTTGTAGGTTTATGATAGGTTATTTAAGGTGTTATGTATAGTGTTTGTATGAGTTTATGTAGAGGTGTTTTATGTGAAGTGTTTAGTAGAGTGTTATGTAAGGGTGTATGTAGAGTGTTATGTAGAGGTGTTATGTAGTGTGTTATGTAGAGGTTTTTGATGAGTTCTGTAGAGGTTATGTGGAGGTGTTATGTAGAGTGTTATGTAGAGGTGTTATGTAGAGTGGTATGTATAGTGTTATGTAGAGTGTTATGTAGAGGTGTTATGTAGAGGTGTTATGTAGAGTGTTATGTAGAGTGTTATGTAGAGTGTTATGTAGAGTGTTATGTAGAGGTGTTATGTAGAGGTGTTATGTAGAGGTGTTATGTAGAGTGTTATGTAGAGTGTTATGTAGAGGTGTTATGTAGAGTGTTATGTAGAGTGTTATGTAGAGGTGTTATGTAGAGTGTTATGTAGAGGTGTTATGTAGAGGTGTTATGTAGAGTGTTATGTAGAGTGTTATGTAGAGTGTTATGTAGAGGTGTTATGTAGAGGTGTTATGTAGAGGTGTTATGTAGAGTGTTATGTAGAGTGTTATGTAGAGTGTTATGTATAGTGTTATGTAGAGTGTTATGTAGAGTGTTATGTAGAGTGTTATGTAGAGGTGTTATGTGGAGGTGTTATGTGGAGGTGTTATGTAGAGTGGTATACATAGTGTTCTGTAGAGTGTTATGTGGAGGTGTTATGTAGAGGTGTTATGTGGAGGTGTTATGTAGAGTGTTATGTAGAGGTGTTATGTAGAGTGTTATGTAGAGGTGTTATGTGGAGGTGTTATGTAGAGTGGTATACATAGTGTTCTGTAGAGTGTTATGTGGAGGTGTTATGTAAAGGTGTTCTGTCACTATCAGCGGTGTTTGAGGAGGATTCAATCACCAACATCAGACATCAGACATGATTATTTCTGCAGGAGATAGGGAAGAGTGGCAGACATTAGCAATAATAAGCCAGACTGAGACAATGTATACCAGAGGCTGGCCATTCGAATGATTGAGGAGACCGTTACAATTAGGTAAAGTTTTCGGTAGAACTATACCTTTCGGTAAAACTGACAATTTTATAGTTTTGACAGAATTTCCCGACGAAAATTGAAAAATCATATTGTCCCATGATTTGTCCCATTTTTAGTTTTTGAAGACGAAATTTCCAGGACCAAAATTTTACAGTTTTGACTGAATTTCTCACCCGAAACCACTTAGTCAGTCAAATATAAATAGCATATGACACGATAGAGGTGCCGGAAATTTAATTTCTGCCGGAGGAAGCTCACAGCAGAAAGCTTAACAAAACGAATATTCATATTTTCTAATTTCTGTCCCATTTTCAAATAGGAAAATTTCTTAACACAAATTTGACTGATTGGATGGACTTTTTGCCCCAAGACCAATTATTCAGTTAATTGATGATGGTCTGAAACCAAATTATAGAGGTACTGGAAGTCAAAATTCCGAATAAAATTGAAAAATCCTAATCATATTGTCCCATTCTCTGTCCCATTTTCAGTTTTTGAAGATGAACTTTCAAGGACCGAAATTTTACAGTTTTGACTGAATTTCTCACCCGAAACCAATTAGTCAGTGAACTATAGATGGCCTATGGCACGATTGAGGTGCTGAAAGTTTGATTTCGGTCGGATGAAGCTCACATCAGAAAGCTTAACAAAACGAAAATTCATATTTTCCAATTTCTGTGACTGTCCCATATTCAATTATAACAAAAATTTGACAGATTGGATGGTCTTTTTGCCCAGAGATCAATTAGTCAAATAAATGTTGATGATATGAAACCAAATTGAGGTACTGGAAGTCAAAATCACGAAGAAAATTGAAAAATAATATTTTCCCATTCTCTGTGCCATTTTCAGTTGAATGATTGAATACTGGAGATGAAATGAGAGTTTACACTCACTATAAGACAATATCCATCAGGTATCGAGACTCTCATTTCGTCACCAGTAATCAATCATAATCGGCCCACACTCAAGAGAGTGAAAAACGAAACATATCACTTCTTTATTAATATTAATATTTGAACTCCAGCTTGCTTCTTATAATGATTTTGGCTTTTTGGGAAGAAGAAAAACAGTGAAATTGGTGTGAAACATAATGTATAACATTACATAATTGTTAATAAAAATTCCAGTAGCTTTTAGTAAAAGACAATGTCACACCACGTAAAAATTGCATATCATTATCAAATGCTCATTTGCTGTTTATAATATCTGACAATCATAAATTATCTTCTTACTGTAACCGCAATTTATAAAACACATACAAGCATAATTTAGATGGGGTCAACTCTTAAAAATATTAAATTCAAAACAAACGATATACTATAGTCTTTGTACAATTGTTTTATGTGTTCCTTACGGTACAGTACTACTTCTACGGTTTTAAATTAAGTCAATATTTTCAGTTAATCACTATTCAGTCCTATCCCTTATAATTCTTAACACTTTGTAAATTGTCTGCCAGTCTGGCAAAGTCGCTTACAACGCCTCAAGATCTTCAGATCGTTTTTGCTTCATCCTGAAACGTTTGTTATCAGTTATTTTCTTGTTATCTCAAATTAATCATCATAAAACTGAGTAGGAAAATGTATCTCATTTCTGAATATCCGTGGGATATTTCATAATCCCTTTTTATGCTATTTACGAAACTACAAATTGAATCGGAACAGAAAACAGTGGTTAAAATTAAATACTTGATAGAACAACCCAGAAATTATTACTATCTGAATAAATAAGTTACCTAAGAACAAGAACAGTAAGGAAGGCTGTCATCAACACCACTGTGCACACACCGACGGTAGTGGCGGCCACAAAGTGAGTCGAATCACTGGTACTTGAGTCTGAGGGATTGAGTTATTATTAGCCAGGGCAGTCGAGAAGTTATCAATTAATTTTTGAAGTTATCAATTGGTTAAACATTTACTACTTCAGTGCTCAGTAACACGGACGTGTCGTAACGTTTATAAATTCCTATTCATAACGTCCAATTTAGCTGTCGTGAAGATCATGATTTATTTAAATCTTAGTTGTTAATAAATTTCTAATGAAGCTTGGATAATTTAGGGTTAGTAAATTATTGCTAGTAAATTAATACTACCTTCAGCATCTGATCCGTTAACTGCGCGTTTCTCTATACTTTCGAAATCCTCGAAATCATTTTCAGCATCACGTCGTCTCCTGTAGTGATAGAAACAAACGTGAAATTGGTGCTAAAAACTTTGCAAATAAATCAGTTTTGATAATAATGTACATGAATCAAAAAACTTCATCGAATATTGGTAAAAAAACCAAAAGATATCATGGATCAATTTCTAACCTCTTATCATCATAAGTCTCCGAACATGACCAGAACTTAATTGTTTGATCATCCTTGTTGGCGAGAGCATCTCTCTCGGTGAATTTCCAGACTGGAGTGACGAAGTTTACGAAGTAGTTCATTGAGAGTTTTCCTGTAGCGTCGTCAAAGGTACATCCAGACTTCTCTGTATCCAATGTGCAAGCTGAAAACATTTTTATTCATTTTGATGGCGTTTTGACAAATTGTGTACGATTCTGTAACAATTGTCGAATAATACAGCTCTGCTGTAACAGTCCAACTTTCACATTCCAAACTTCAATGTAAACTTCAGTAACAAATTCAGTGCAACCTATTGTGCATTGTACAAACGTCAGTACAAAAAACTTACCGCCACTTAGAAGACAGGGAACCCTGTGTTTAAATCCACAAGCGGTGTCAGTCATGGAGTTCAACTTAAGCTTCATGTTGGCGGGGGAGAATTGTCCCACAGCACTTGCATGTGTAGAACTGCACGCCTGAAATTTATTAAATGAGTGGAATAGTTACTATGGGAAACGTGATACCTTACGAGACATATTTATGTTCGACATGATTCCGGTGACCTAAATGATTTGGGAACGAAAATATGGGAATTTTGACCGAAAACCGCCACATTTCGTACCCCAAATTAAATCATGGTATTTGGAGATTTTTTTCATCTCCTTATTTTATAAAAATGAAACCCAATATTTGAGACAATTAAATACAATAATCTTCTCTGATCAGCTGTTCCATCTTGTAAACAATTTCTCCGGAGCCTTTGAAAGTTAGCCTCAACTTAACTTATAATCCTCCAGAGGGTATAGGAGACCGAAAGTGTTTGTTATCTTCCACTAATCCCGAAATTTCACTGTCGTGGCCAATAAAGTAGTGACAGAGCTTGTTTATTTTTAATGGAACGTGTCCAAAATGATTTTTGAAGCAATTCATGATCGAATACTAGAGTTCATTGATTGTTTGATGAATCATATTTATATCTTACTATAAAATTTATATCTTATATTGATAAATTGATGGTAAATCGATAAAATCATAATTAAGGAAAATACGTGAAAATTAATTTGGGGAAAATAATGATGGCATGGTGACCTAAATTTTGGTAGTCCGAAAATATAGTGTTTTTTTTTTCGAAAAACCACCGACTTTCGTACCATTTAAATATGTCTCGTAAGGTAGCTAGCATTTAAGTAAAATATTCTGACATGAAGATGTTTTTTATCAAATACTCAAAATGACAAATTCCCAGATTAGAGTTTGCGCACAGCCGACATCAACTGGCACTCAAAAACTTACCTTGGTTCCACTGGATGCCAAGTTCATAATCTGTGATCCTTGTCCTCCTGTGAATGGGTTTGTCTCCTTGCACCGTCCTAAGAACTGTGGTTCGTACTTGCCAGTCGTCTTCAAACAAGTTATACTTGCGGCCGAGTTGGTAGTGGCTGAAAAGAAGAACATATTTAACATATTTAACATATTTAACATATTTAACATATTTAACATATTTAACATATTTAACATATTTAACATATTTAACATATTTAACATATTTAACATATTTAACATATTTAACATATTTAACATATTTAACATATTTAACATATTTAACACATTTAACATATTCAACATATTTAACATATTTAACATATTTAAAGAAGAACATAAACATGGGTTATTTGAAGTTAGCGGAAAGCAACGGTATAAAAAAATTAAAACTTGATAAAGTTTTGTCGCAAATCGAAACAATTAGATAAGTTTACAACATGGAGCTGACATAAAAACGTACTCATAAGTTCAAATCGTGCTGTAGTCGTGTCTGCAGCACAGGTAATAGTCTGAGTCACGGAACCATCTCCGTTATCTGTAGCTGCTACACTTGCTCCGTTGTCAGCTGGGAAATGATAATGCAGGTTTAAATGAAACGAAACAAATATTAGTTTTCAAAATACCACATTATAAATCAGTATAATAGAATTAAATATTGATTGATTTCGCCCCCTGAGTTTTTTAAAACGTAAGAAAATTGATTGATACCTGGATTCAAAGACTTGAAAGGCGCATTATTACAATCGTAGTATGTAGTGACGGTTATTTCTTCAGTTGCTTTGCCCATTGCTCTTCCGTAATCGACCTGAACATAAATGGTTAGAGATAAAAAGGGTATTGACCGGTCGTTTGCGGAATCAGAGACACCAGACATGAGCCACAATTTTTTGAAGTTGCCTTAGAAACTAAAAAGCTGAAAGAAAGACGTCATATTTCTAGAGGGGGATTTGTTTTTAGCATATTTGTAGTCCGTATATTTCTCACCTCACAGGCTATTTTCTGGCCATTCCTAATAACATTAGGGGCGATAGCTTTAGTAGTATATGTGGCTGTGTGGGTTGTCGCATCGGATGACACTTGTACACCTGTAACCAGCTCGTAGAAAGTGGTGTCGAATGTTTTCTTTCCAGAGGTGGTGAATTTGAAGGAAGGTGCTTTTTCTCCGGTAGCGATACAGGTCAGAATGATGGTATCTCCCTTGACAGGGTCGAGTTTAGAAGAGACAAATGAGGTGATGCTGGAGATCTTGAGCATCATGTCACCAGACGTAACAGTTGCTCCGAAGAAGTTGTTTGCAGCATCAGTTTGGTAAGCGATGTTGCATCTTACTTTGAGGCCGTCTTCGTCGGACTTCAACCCGCGGAGGAAGAGGGGTGAAACCCTTATTCCATTGTTTGCTACCAATGAGCCCTCAACTTTGAACCTGAAGCAAAATTGGAATTAGTGACATTGTTCGAACTTGTGACGTGTGTTTTTTGTGCACAGTTGTTGCCAGATGTGTTCTTGGCCCTCAAGTTGGAGCAACCTATTTATAACTCATCTATACTAATGAGTCATATTTCTCGACAAGCCCCTGATAACAGACAAGATGTTAAAGTTATTGTGACTTACCGGTTGTCCTCTGTAGAGGCTTTCCATGTTGAACTAGAAGTGTCGTAGTACTCCCAGGTTATTGCAGCAGTAGCTTGCACCTTTGTCATATCTACACTCTCTAAGTATGCATCTCCAGCAGCATTCTTCTTGAGCAGCGCATCTGATTTACAAACGAATTGTGTAGACTTTGTAACCACTCCCCACGCAGCTGAAGAGATCTCTGTGATCCCAAGGACAGATAGGTAGACGTTGGCAGATTTCACCTCATTGGCGTCCCAAGATGCCTTGCAGTAGTACTCAATACTCTCAGCTGCCTGAGCATTGCTGATGGTCAGAACTCCAGTTGTTGTGATAACTCCGGCGTTATCTGCCTGTGTTGGAACAACAGATCCTACCACCGTATCGTCTGTTGCTTTGTGGAATGTGATTGTTCCAGCAGAGTCTCCAGTGGTCTTACAGGTGAGCTGAGCCTCACCACCCTCGGCAACATTTGTTACTTGAGGTGGTTCCGAGATGGTCCTGACTGTCAGAGTGGCTGCGGACGATTTGATGAAGATCGTTCCCCACTTTATTGTACAGAGGTACTCTCCCGCGGCGTCAACGTTTATCTGATAAAACAAGAAATATAATACTAATAGAGAGTTGATGAAACGAATTTACAACAATTGTAATCGATCACTGAAGTAACGAAAGTAAATGTTATCACTCTTCACATGTTTAATTATGATATGTCTTTTTTTACTTCAATTGAAGAATACTTACATTTGCGACATTGAGGGTAGTAGAAATCTCGCCGACTGTGGCATCATCCTTAGCGATGGCTCCGTCAATAACACGTTCGCCATCCTTGTATACGTCACCGTTTCCAATCATAGGCTGTAAAGGTGTGTATGTGTTAAAAGTGCAGAAAAAGGAAAACAATTATGTTTCGCCCTTTTATCAATATTATGATTTATCTATCGCCAAATTGTAGTATAGATTCAATGGGGTGCATTTCAGCATGTTCAGGGAATTCTGTAAGTCTGTTATGAACATTAATACCAGCAGTTTGAAAAGTAAATCGGAGTAGGAATAAAAAGTTGATAGATGTACCTTAGCAGACGATTCACCAACTCCCTTGTAGGACCAGACGATCTCGTAGGTCTGTCCACTGAAAGGATTGGGGAATTTGCAGGAGAACTCGTGACTACCACCACCGTAGGCTGTAGCGTCTTGCGGCTCTACTATTGGTACAGCGGCGATTATCGTCAATACCACGTCTCCTGACTCAAACTGGTTTTGGGTGGCGCAGAAGTCGTCGTACTGTGTTCCTCGGCACTTGTAGCTTCCAGCAGCGTCATCTTCAATGTCAAATTCAATCTTTGAGACTAAATCGTCGGATCCGCTTGCCTCGACCTTTACCTTTTCGTAGTCTGTGTCTTCCACAAGTACGATATTATCCTTGAACCTAGAAAATTTTATTTTCAATATAAATGCCACGCTTTAAAGAAAATGTATTTTGTGTTGTTGATGAAACAGTAATTACCAATTAGACACCAACACACGAGCCTCGCGTGTTGGTGTCTAAATCGCGAGGATGTCTGAAATTTGGTCCTCTGTGCCTCTACTTACCACTCGATGCTCTTAGCACCAGACGCAACAGTACACGTGAGTGTAATTGAGGATCTGACGATCAGATTTGGAGTAAGTCCTTGAGAACTTTCAATGACGGCCTCTGAAAAAAATAGTGAGATTTAGCAACTTGTGCGGTATCAGTAAAACAAAATATGGTACGTTTCTGAGGAAGGCTTTTCGAACTCGAGTTCGAACCAAAACATTTATTGAGAATTGGAAATCCCCTCTAGTCCAATAAATCATGACAAATGAAACTGGAATAAAATAAAAGTTGTATCTTACTTCTTGCTGTGAGTCTCTGTATGGCTGACAAGGTGCTACCATCGTTCAGCGTGAAGGTGCACGTGTAGGATCCACTTGAAGCATCAGTAATACCGGTAACTGCGTAGCTGCCAATCTGGCTGCCAGGTGTATTAGCGTCAGCTCCTGGCGCGTAAACTCCCAGCTGTCCTGCCACCACTGAGTTGTCAGGCATGGTGAAGGACACTGCAGTTACTGTGTCTACTCCAGCGTAGCTGCAGGAGAGTGTTTTGCTGGTTTCTGTCATGAAGTCCACGAAAACACATTCATCGTTTGTTACGGCAGCAGAAACCACACTCACGGAAGCCTCCACGTTGTTTACATCGTCGAACTCGAAAAGGCACTTGTAGCTACCCTGGTCAACAAACTCGAAGTCTTTCAATGTTATGTTACTGAAATACTTGATGCTGTTGTCTAGCTGCTTAGTGTTGGTGTTCTGCAGTTTTGTGATGGAATCAAACACAACCTCCTCTGCTTCCTTGAACCATTTTACACTGGCTGGAACTTTGTCTCCCTCAAACATGCACCTAGCGGACAGCTCCCCATCAGACACCACGATGGTGGATTCTTCAACTCCTTTGGTGTCTATGACGGTGGCTTTCCTCACCACAACCTCGGTTGATGTCTCCAGGTTGTCGGTGTCACTGAAGGACAGTGAACATTTGTACTCTCCAGAATTATCCTCCGGGTTCACATTGGCTATTGTCAGGATATACTTCTGGGCATTGGCCGCTAGTGAGCCGTCATTAATCGTAATGTCATCTTCAGCATTATCAACGAGCTTTTGGTCCCCGTAGAACCATTCCATTGTGCCGCTTGTCGTGCCCTCGTAGTCACATTCTACTGTTATTGTCCCGTCTGTGCTGTATGTGGTGGCAGTGGGTGTTGTCAGCGCTGAAATTTGAAACTTGTTAACATAAAAAAGCATCAATTTTAATGAAAAGTCATCTCAAAACTAAAATTCTGTTCAGTTTTGAGATTACTAGGCTAAGTTCAACAAGGCGATTAAAATGTTACATGATTATACCACATAATTATTACTCATAAATATTAATTATACCACATAATTATACCACTATCCTGACTTACATCTTATAGCGACAGTCATTGTAGACTGGGGATCAAATGAGGTGGTGTCCCATTTACAAGTGTAGTCTCCACTGTCAGTTACAGCCACGTTTTTGAAAGTGATCACACTAGTCTTGGACCGAGATGCAGTGTCAAATGCTCCAGTTACAATTCCGTATTTCCCTCCATCAGCGATGATATCTCCAGCTGCGTCTGTTGACCCCTGCAGTGGAATGTTTTATATTGTGGTGTGAAACTTTTCTAAACTAGAAAACTATTTATCATTCCATGTTAATGGTCACTGTGAAGGGACTAAATAGTAATAAAAATTAGTCAGAAATCTTACCTTAAACCATTCAACTTTAGAGGGATCTTCCAAACCATTGTAGACACAAGAGAATACCACGGAGTTGTCGTGAACAAAGTACGGTGAGGATGGCACAAATGAGGCAGCTGTAGAAATTTATTATAATTAATCAAATAATCAATCAATGTTAAATCATTAATCAACCACTCCATCATATCAAGTTCAAAACCTATCAAATTTAATTAAATTGCATCATTGGCTTAACGGATATAATGAACATCAGCAGTAGTATAATCGTACTAAAAGTCAACGTTAACTCACATAACTTGGTGAGCTGGGTCACGAGGTCCTTAGGCACATCCCCTTCATTAAAGACAACGGAACAGGTGTATGCACCCTCGTCACCGAATGTCATGGCTTTGATGGTAAGTGTGTTTGTGTACACGGCGCCCTCTGTTGTTGAGCCGATGACTATCTGAGTATTTGCGCATTATTACACTAAATTAAAATATTGGTTGTTATATAATAAAGATAGTAGATACACTAAACTAGTTTATCATATCAACAGATGGAACCAATTGGAACATACTTTATCACAGCACATGTCAAGGTTCAAGATGATAAATACCTTATCTGCTACGTTATTGATAGCTTCATTGTTTTCATCTTTCCAGGACACAGTATATGGAGATGAGTCTCCCCAAACCAAGCACACCAGTTCTCCGTCACCCGTGGAACCTGAACTGAACGTATCAGCGGCCATTGACGCTCCAATAGCGTTTATGTCAGTTTTCGTGTCAATTTCTGCGGCGTCTTCCCCGGTCCAGGTGGCCACGCATTTGAGCTCGTTATTAAAGATCTGGTTATTAGCGGGAATTGTCAACTTGCTCTTCTTTTCTGTAGTAGAAGAACTTTCTGATGTGTCTTCAACAGTGGCAAGTTTGAAGTCGTCGTTTATTGCAGTTTCTCCTGTTGAAGTGAAAACATTACACAAAACATTGAGTAGGTATGCAATTTTTAACGATCCCACAATAGGGTAACCAATCAAGCAGACAATTTCCGAAGATACAGTATCCGATGGAAACTATTGGTAACTATGGTTACTATGGTCATGGGAACTAACCGATCTGCCAAGAAATACTGAACAGAGATTTATCCTCTCCCTGTGCTGCGCAATTAAACTCTCTTGGGAAATCACTATCAACTACTGTCGCCGAAGCAGGCAAACTTGAACTGAATTCTGCGAATAAGATGGTTAATGTAGAATAAATTAGCATATAAATCAAATAAGAAACGAGTTAGTATTGCCCCATAAAAATTATGCCTACTGCTCATTCGTTCTATGAATGTTACATTTTTATAAAAATTATAACTCAGTTTATCACATTTAATCCAAAAAGTCAAATCTACTATTTAACAAACAATCTTTCTGATAAGTTAACTGATAAATAAATCAATTATTACCTCTCTTGTATATTGTAAACGGTCCAACAGGGAAAGTGGTGGCAGATGCGTCTCCCAAAGATATAGTTCCACTGACAACAAACGGTGCCATAGTTGCTGGGAAGGCAGCCATGACAAAGGCGAGGTTAAACACCTTCTCAGTGCCGGACCACGCTGTAGTGACACTGGGGGTTAGGTTAGGATTACTACCCGCGCTATATGTCTGCCCTCCGACAATCCATACTATCTGTGGTTCATAACGTCCATTCACTGTCAACTCCACCTTTTCAGGACTATAGTAAAAGTCATCCAGAGCAGAAAGTACTGAAATTAAAACATGATTAACGAGTGACGCTCAAATCAAATATAAAAGAACAAAGTCATTTTAATGATATGCTATGTGATAGATAATAATTTCTACGATAAGTTTTCTTAAATTGATTTCAAATTGCACTGGGTATAATTATTTACCATAAAAATAAAACATCTACAATAGTACTTACTGAACACGTTTACGTCGACAGGAGTCTCTTCTGATGTTTTTGCATGCTCGTCAGATGTAATGACACAGGTGAAAACAGCATCAGCCTTGTTTTCAGCAGCAGGTACGGTCAGAATTGTAGTTTGAATGTTGGTGCCAGGATCGTAAGTTCCAAGGACAATAGCATAGCTGTCAGTACCGTCAGTTATAACACCACCCGAACTAGGTTTGTTCCATGTTACCGCCTCCAGCTGCTTACTCAAACCACTTACTACACAAGATATTGTAGCTTGTGTGTTTGCCAGCACTTCGCTACCCTTAGCTTCTACACCTGAAACAATCAGTCATTTAAAATAAGCCCGCAATAAAAAATATCAACAGTATTGTACAGGAACTGAATCATTGAACTTTCTCAACTAATTTCACTGGATCCTATGATGAGTTTAATTTTGTTTTAACAGTAGGATGTAACAAGTTATCTTAGATATAAAGTTAAAACAGCAGAGCATCATTTATGGGCAGTTATAAATACCCACCAAGTCCTAAGAAACTTACCGAAAGTAAGGAAGTCGACAACAATGTCTTTGAAAGTAGATGTTGCTGAATCCGGATAGACTGCAGATACCGCAGCACATTTGTATGTCGCGGGATTTGCAGCTCCAGCTACACTTGTAAGAGTGGCAACATCAATGGTCAGAGTTGATTTCTGAATTCCGTCACCAGCAGAGTCAGCTGTTCCCTGTGCGATGGTGTACCCTCCAGTACCACTTGTTATAGCAACCCCATCATGACCCTTCCACGACACAGCGACATCTGCAGCCACATCTCCGATATCACAAGTCAATGTCTGAGCCACAGCGATGGTGGCTTTTTTAGGAGTCTCCGGATCGACGGCTGAAATAATTTGATTCTTTCAAACTCACAAAACATTTGGTATGTTAAAGTATCATTACATGTAGTTGTAACTAAAATAGCCTAAATTAAGAAAGATTACTGCTGCAAAATTCGAATAAGACCTCGTTATACACATTGTGGTTCTCAAAATGTATCAAGATTACTCACTGAAAACGTTCGAGTTGACAGGAGTCTCTTCTGATGTTTTTGCATGCTCGTCAGATGTAATGACACAGGTGAAAACAGCATCAGCCTTGTTTTCAGCAGCAGGTACGGTCAGAATTGTAGTTTGAATGTTGGTGCCAGGATCGTAAGTTCCAAGGACAATAGCATAGCTGTCAGTACCGTCAGTTATAACACCACCCGAACTAGGTTTGTTCCATGTTACCGCCTCCAGCTGCTTACTCAAACCACTTACTACACAAGATATTGTAGCTTGTGTGTTTGCCAGCACTTCGCTACCCTTAGCTTCTACACCTGAAACAATCAGTCATTTAAAATAAGCCCGCAATAAAAAATATCAACAGTATTGTACAGGAACTGAATCATTGAACTTTCTCAACTAATTTCACTGGATCCTATGATGAGTTTAATTTTGTTTTAACAGTAGGATGTAACAAGTTATCTTAGATATAAAGTTAAAACAGCAGAGCATCATTTATGGGCAGTTATAAATACCCACCAAGTCCTAAGAAACTTACCGAAAGTAAGGAAGTCGACAACAATGTCTTTGAAAGTAGATGTTGCTGAATCCGGATAGACTGCAGATACCGCAGCACATTTGTATGTCGCGGGATTTGCAGCTCCAGCTACACTTGTAAGAGTGGCAACATCAATGGTCAGAGTTGATTTCTGAATTCCGTCACCAGCAGAGTCAGCTGTTCCCTGTGCGATGGTGTACCCTCCAGTACCACTTGTTATAGCAACCCCATCATGACCCTTCCACGACACAGCGACATCTGCAGCCACATCTCCGATATCACAAGTCAATGTCTGAGCCACAGCGATGGTGGCTTTTTTAGGAGTCTCCGGATCGACGGCTGAAATAATTTGATTCTTTCAAACTCACAAAACATTTGGTATGTTAAAGTATCATTACATGTAGTTGTAACTAAAATAGCCTAAATTAAGAAAGATTACTGCTGCAAAATTCGAATAAGACCTCGTTATACACATTGTGGTTCTCAAAATGTATCAAGATTACTCACTGAAAACGTTCGAGTTGACAGGAGTCTCTTCTGATGTTTTTGCATGCTCGTCAGATGTAATGACACAGGTGAAAACAGCATCAGCCTTGTTTTCAGCAGCAGGTACGGTCAGAATTGTAGTTTGAATGTTGGTGCCAGGATCGTAAGTTCCAAGGACAATAGCATAGCTGTCAGTACCGTCAGTTATAACACCACCCGAACTAGGTTTGTTCCATGTTACCGCCTCCAGCTGCTTACTCAAACCACTTACTACACAAGATATTGTAGCTTGTGTGTTTGCCAGCACTTCGCTACCCTTAGCTTCTACACCTGAAACAATCAGTCATTTAAAATAAGCCCGCAATAAAAAATATCAACAGTATTGTACAGGAACTGAATCATTGAACTTTCTCAACTAATTTCACTGGATCCTATGATGAGTTTAATTTTGTTTTAACAGTAGGATGTAACAAGTTATCTTAGATATAAAGTTAAAACAGCAGAGCATCATTTATGGGCAGTTATAAATACCCACCAAGTCCTAAGAAACTTACCGAAAGTAAGGAAGTCGACAACAATGTCTTTGAAAGTAGATGTTGCTGAATCCGGATAGACTGCAGATACCGCAGCACATTTGTATGTCGCGGGATTTGCAGCTCCAGCTACACTTGTAAGAGTGGCAACATCAATGGTCAGAGTTGATTTCTGAATTCCGTCACCAGCAGAGTCAGCTGTTCCCTGTGCGATGGTGTACCCTCCAGTACCACTTGTTATAGCAACCCCATCATGACCCTTCCACGACACAGCGACATCTGCAGCCACATCTCCGATATCACAAGTCAATGTCTGAGCCACAGCGATGGTGGCTTTTTTAGGAGTCTCCGGATCGACGGCTGAAATAATTTGATTCTTTCAAACTCACAAAACATTTGGTATGTTAAAGTATCATTACATGTAGTTGTAACTAAAATAGCCTAAATTAAGAAAGATTACTGCTGCAAAATTCGAATAAGACCTCGTTATACACATTGTGGTTCTCAAAATGTATCAAGATTACTCACTGAAAACGTTCGAGTTGACAGGAGTCTCTTCTGATGTTTTTGCATGCTCGTCAGATGTAATGACACAGGTGAAAACAGCATCAGCCTTGTTTTCAGCAGCAGGTACGGTCAGAATTGTAGTTTGAATGTTGGTGCCAGGATCGTAAGTTCCAAGGACAATAGCATAGCTGTCAGTACCGTCAGTTATAACACCACCCGAACTAGGTTTGTTCCATGTTACCGCCTCCAGCTGCTTACTCAAACCACTTACTACACAAGATATTGTAGCTTGTGTGTTTGCCAGCACTTCGCTACCCTTAGCTTCTACACCTGAAACAATCAGTCATTTAAAATAAGCCCGCAATAAAAAATATCAACAGTATTGTACAGGAACTGAATCATTGAACTTTCTCAACTAATTTCACTGGATCCTATGATGAGTTAACAAGTTATCTTAGATATAAAGTTAAAACAGCAGAGCATCATTTATGGGCAGTTATAAATACCCATCAAGTCCTAAGAAACTTACCGAAAGTAAGGAAGTCGACAACAATGTCTTTGAAAGTAGATGTTGCTGAATCCGGATAGACTGCAGATACCGCAGCACATTTGTATGTCGCGGGATTTGCAGCTCCAGCTACACTTGTAAGAGTGGCAACATCAATGGTCAGAGTTGATTTCTGAATTCCGTCACCAGCAGAGTCAGCTGTTCCCTGTGCGATGGTGTACCCTCCAGTACCACTTGTTATAGCAACCCCATCATGACCCTTCCACGACACAGCGACATCTGCAGCCACATCTCCGATATCACAAGTCAATGTCTGAGCCACAGCGATGGTGGCTTTTTTAGGAGTCTCCGGATCGACGGCTGAAATAATTTGATTCTTTCAAACTCACAAAACATTTGGTATGTTAAAGTATCATTACATGTAGTTGTAACTAAAATAGCCTAAATTAAGAAAGATTACTGCTGCAAAATTCGAATAAGACCTCGTTATACACATTGTGGTTCTCAAAATGTATCAAGATTACTCACTGAAAACGTTCGAGTTGACAGGAGTCTCTTCTGATGTTTTTGCATGCTCGTCAGATGTAATGACACAGGTGAAAACAGCATCAGCCTTGTTTTCAGCAGCAGGTACGGTCAGAATTGTAGTTTGAATGTTGGTGCCAGGATCGTAAGTTCCAAGGACAATAGCATAGCTGTCAGTACCGTCAGTTATAACACCACCCGAACTAGGTTTGTTCCATGTTACCGCCTCCAGCTGCTTACTCAAACCACTTACTACACAAGATATTGTAGCTTGTGTGTTTGCCAGCACTTCGCTACCCTTAGCTTCTACACCTGAAACAATCAGTCATTTAAAATAAGCCCGCAATAAAAAATATCAACAGTATTGTACAGGAACTGAATCATTGAACTTTCTCAACTAATTTCACTGGATCCTATGATGAGTTTAATTTTGTTTTAACAGTAGGATGTAACAAGTTATCTTAGATATAAAGTTAAAACAGCAGAGCATCATTTATGGGCAGTTATAAATACCCACCAAGTCCTAAGAAACTTACCGAAAGTAAGGAAGTCGACAACAATGTCTTTGAAAGTAGATGTTGCTGAATCCGGATAGACTGCAGATACCGCAGCACATTTGTATGTCGCGGGATTTGCAGCTCCAGCTACACTTGTAAGAGTGGCAACATCAATGGTCAGAGTTGATTTCTGAATTCCGTCACCAGCAGAGTCAGCTGTTCCCTGTGCGATGGTGTACCCTCCAGTACCACTTGTTATAGCAACCCCATCATGACCCTTCCACGACACAGCGACATCTGCAGCCACATCTCCGATATCACAAGTCAATGTCTGAGCCACAGCGATGGTGGCTTTTTTAGGAGTCTCCGGATCGACGGCTGAAATAATTTGATTCTTTCAAACTCACAAAACATTTGGTATGTTAAAGTATCATTACATGTAGTTGTAACTAAAATAGCCTAAATTAAGAAAGATTACTGCTGCAAAATTCGAATAAGACCTCGTTATACACATTGTGGTTCTCAAAATGTATCAAGATTACTCACTGAAAACGTTCGAGTTGACAGGAGTCTCTTCTGATGTTTTTGCATGCTCGTCAGATGTAATGACACAGGTGAAAACAGCATCAGCCTTGTTTTCAGCAGCAGGTACGGTCAGAATTGTAGTTTGAATGTTGGTGCCAGGATCGTAAGTTCCAAGGACAATAGCATAGCTGTCAGTACCGTCAGTTATAACACCACCCGAACTAGGTTTGTTCCATGTTACCGCCTCCAGCTGCTTACTCAAACCACTTACTACACAAGATATTGTAGCTTGTGTGTTTGCCAGCACTTCGCTACCCTTAGCTTCTACACCTGAAACAATCAGTCATTTAAAATAAGCCCGCAATAAAAAATATCAACAGTATTGTACAGGAACTGAATCATTGAACTTTCTCAACTAATTTCACTGGATCCTATGATGAGTTTAATTTTGTTTTAACAGTAGGATGTAACAAGTTATCTTAGATATAAAGTTAAAACAGCAGAGCATCATTTATGGGCAGTTATAAATACCCACCAAGTCCTAAGAAACTTACCGAAAGTAAGGAAGTCGACAACAATGTCTTTGAAAGTAGATGTTGCTGAATCCGGATAGACTGCAGATACCGCAGCACATTTGTATGTCGCGGGATTTGCAGCTCCAGCTACACTTGTAAGAGTGGCAACATCAATGGTCAGAGTTGATTTCTGAATTCCGTCACCAGCAGAGTCAGCTGTTCCCTGTGCGATGGTGTACCCTCCAGTACCACTTGTTATAGCAACCCCATCATGACCCTTCCACGACACAGCGACATCTGCAGCCACATCTCCGATATCACAAGTCAATGTCTGAGCCACAGCGATGGTGGCTTTTTTAGGAGTCTCCGGATCGACGGCTGAAATAATTTGATTCTTTCAAACTCACAAAACATTTGGTATGTTAAAGTATCATTACATGTAGTTGTAACTAAAATAGCCTAAATTAAGAAAGATTACTGCTGCAAAATTCGAATAAGACCTCGTTATACACATTGTGGTTCTCAAAATGTATCAAGATTACTCACTGAAAACGTTCGAGTTGACAGGAGTCTCTTCTGATGTTTTTGCATGCTCGTCAGATGTAATGACACAGGTGAAAACAGCATCAGCCTTGTTTTCAGCAGCAGGTACGGTCAGAATTGTAGTTTGAATGTTGGTGCCAGGATCGTAAGTTCCAAGGACAATAGCATAGCTGTCAGTACCGTCAGTTATAACACCACCCGAACTAGGTTTGTTCCATGTTACCGCCTCCAGCTGCTTACTCAAACCACTTACTACACAAGATATTGTAGCTTGTGTGTTTGCCAGCACTTCGCTACCCTTAGCTTCTACACCTGAAACAATCAGTCATTTAAAATAAGCCCGCAATAAAAAATATCAACAGTATTGTACAGGAACTGAATCATTGAACTTTCTCAACTAATTTCACTGGATCCTATGATGAGTTTAATTTTGTTTTAACAGTAGGATGTAACAAGTTATCTTAGATATAAAGTTAAAACAGCAGAGCATCATTTATGGGCAGTTATAAATACCCACCAAGTCCTAAGAAACTTACCGAAAGTAAGGAAGTCGACAACAATGTCTTTGAAAGTAGATGTTGCTGAATCCGGATAGACTGCAGATACCGCAGCACATTTGTATGTCGCGGGATTTGCAGCTCCAGCTACACTTGTAAGAGTGGCAACATCAATGGTCAGAGTTGATTTCTGAATTCCGTCACCAGCAGAGTCAGCTGTTCCCTGTGCGATGGTGTACCCTCCAGTACCACTTGTTATAGCAACCCCATCATGACCCTTCCACGACACAGCGACATCTGCAGCCACATCTCCGATATCACAAGTCAATGTCTGAGCCACAGCGATGGTGGCTTTTTTAGGAGTCTCCGGATCGACGGCTGAAATAATTTGATTCTTTCAAACTCACAAAACATTTGGTATGTTAAAGTATCATTACATGTAGTTGTAACTAAAATAGCCTAAATTAAGAAAGATTACTGCTGCAAAATTCGAATAAGACCTCGTTATACACATTGTGGTTCTCAAAATGTATCAAGATTACTCACTGAAAACGTTCGAGTTGACAGGAGTCTCTTCTGATGTTTTTGCATGCTCGTCAGATGTAATGACACAGGTGAAAACAGCATCAGCCTTGTTTTCAGCAGCAGGTACGGTCAGAATTGTAGTTTGAATGTTGGTGCCAGGATCGTAAGTTCCAAGGACAATAGCATAGCTGTCAGTACCGTCAGTTATAACACCACCCGAACTAGGTTTGTTCCATGTTACCGCCTCCAGCTGCTTACTCAAACCACTTACTACACAAGATATTGTAGCTTGTGTGTTTGCCAGCACTTCGCTACCCTTAGCTTCTACACCTGAAACAATCAGTCATTTAAAATAAGCCCGCAATAAAAAATATCAACAGTATTGTACAGGAACTGAATCATTGAACTTTCTCAACTAATTTCACTGGATCCTATGATGAGTTTAATTTTGTTTTAACAGTAGGATGTAACAAGTTATCTTAGATATAAAGTTAAAACAGCAGAGCATCATTTATGGGCAGTTATAAATACCCACCAAGTCCTAAGAAACTTACCGAAAGTAAGGAAGTCGACAACAATGTCTTTGAAAGTAGATGTTGCTGAATCCGGATAGACTGCAGATACCGCAGCACATTTGTATGTCGCGGGATTTGCAGCTCCAGCTACACTTGTAAGAGTGGCAACATCAATGGTCAGAGTTGATTTCTGAATTCCGTCACCAGCAGAGTCAGCTGTTCCCTGTGCGATGGTGTACCCTCCAGTACCACTTGTTATAGCAACCCCATCATGACCCTTCCACGACACAGCGACATCTGCAGCCACATCTCCGATATCACAAGTCAATGTCTGAGCCACAGCGATGGTGGCTTTTTTAGGAGTCTCCGGATCGACGGCTGAAATAATTTGATTCTTTCAAACTCACAAAACATTTGGTATGTTAAAGTATCATTACATGTAGTTGTAACTAAAATAGCCTAAATTAAGAAAGATTACTGCTGCAAAATTCGAATAAGACCTCGTTATACACATTGTGGTTCTCAAAATGTATCAAGATTACTCACTGAAAACGTTCGAGTTGACAGGAGTCTCTTCTGATGTTTTTGCATGCTCGTCAGATGTAATGACACAGGTGAAAACAGCATCAGCCTTGTTTTCAGCAGCAGGTACGGTCAGAATTGTAGTTTGAATGTTGGTGCCAGGATCGTAAGTTCCAAGGACAATAGCATAGCTGTCAGTACCGTCAGTTATAACACCACCCGAACTAGGTTTGTTCCATGTTACCGCCTCCAGCTGCTTACTCAAACCACTTACTACACAAGATATTGTAGCTTGTGTGTTTGCCAGCACTTCGCTACCCTTAGCTTCTACACCTGAAACAATCAGTCATTTAAAATAAGCCCGCAATAAAAAATATCAACAGTATTGTACAGGAACTGAATCATTGAACTTTCTCAACTAATTTCACTGGATCCTATGATGAGTTTAATTTTGTTTTAACAGTAGGATGTAACAAGTTATCTTAGATATAAAGTTAAAACAGCAGAGCATCATTTATGGGCAGTTATAAATACCCACCAAGTCCTAAGAAACTTACCGAAAGTAAGGAAGTCGACAACAATGTCTTTGAAAGTAGATGTTGCTGAATCCGGATAGACTGCAGATACCGCAGCACATTTGTATGTCGCGGGATTTGCAGCTCCAGCTACACTTGTAAGAGTGGCAACATCAATGGTCAGAGTTGATTTCTGAATTCCGTCACCAGCAGAGTCAGCTGTTCCCTGTGCGATGGTGTACCCTCCAGTACCACTTGTTATAGCAACCCCATCATGACCCTTCCACGACACAGCGACATCTGCAGCCACATCTCCGATATCACAAGTCAATGTCTGAGCCACAGCGATGGTGGCTTTTTTAGGAGTCTCCGGATCGACGGCTGAAATAATTTGATTCTTTCAAACTCACAAAACATTTGGTATGTTAAAGTATCATTACATGTAGTTGTAACTAAAATAGCCTAAATTAAGAAAGATTACTGCTGCAAAATTCGAATAAGACCTCGTTATACACATTGTGGTTCTCAAAATGTATCAAGATTACTCACTGAAAACGTTCGAGTTGACAGGAGTCTCTTCTGATGTTTTTGCATGCTCGTCAGATGTAATGACACAGGTGAAAACAGCATCAGCCTTGTTTTCAGCAGCAGGTACGGTCAGAATTGTAGTTTGAATGTTGGTGCCAGGATCGTAAGTTCCAAGGACAATAGCATAGCTGTCAGTACCGTCAGTTATAACACCACCCGAACTAGGTTTGTTCCATGTTACCGCCTCCAGCTGCTTACTCAAACCACTTACTACACAAGATATTGTAGCTTGTGTGTTTGCCAGCACTTCGCTACCCTTAGCTTCTACACCTGAAACAATCAGTCATTTAAAATAAGCCCGCAATAAAAAATATCAACAGTATTGTACAGGAACTGAATCATTGAACTTTCTCAACTAATTTCACTGGATCCTATGATGAGTTTAATTTTGTTTTAACAGTAGGATGTAACAAGTTATCTTAGATATAAAGTTAAAACAGCAGAGCATCATTTATGGGCAGTTATAAATACCCACCAAGTCCTAAGAAACTTACCGAAAGTAAGGAAGTCGACAACAATGTCTTTGAAAGTAGATGTTGCTGAATCCGGATAGACTGCAGATACCGCAGCACATTTGTATGTCGCGGGATTTGCAGCTCCAGCTACACTTGTAAGAGTGGCAACATCAATGGTCAGAGTTGATTTCTGAATTCCGTCACCAGCAGAGTCAGCTGTTCCCTGTGCGATGGTGTACCCTCCAGTACCACTTGTTATAGCAACCCCATCATGACCCTTCCACGACACAGCGACATCTGCAGCCACATCTCCGATATCACAAGTCAATGTCTGAGCCACAGCGATGGTGGCTTTTTTAGGAGTCTCCGGATCGACGGCTGAAATAATTTGATTCTTTCAAACTCACAAAACATTTGGTATGTTAAAGTATCATTACATGTAGTTGTAACTAAAATAGCCTAAATTAAGAAAGATTACTGCTGCAAAATTCGAATAAGACCTCGTTATACACATTGTGGTTCTCAAAATGTATCAAGATTACTCACTGAAAACGTTCGAGTTGACAGGAGTCTCTTCTGATGTTTTTGCATGCTCGTCAGATGTAATGACACAGGTGAAAACAGCATCAGCCTTGTTTTCAGCAGCAGGTACGGTCAGAATTGTAGTTTGAATGTTGGTGCCAGGATCGTAAGTTCCAAGGACAATAGCATAGCTGTCAGTACCGTCAGTTATAACACCACCCGAACTAGGTTTGTTCCATGTTACCGCCTCCAGCTGCTTACTCAAACCACTTACTACACAAGATATTGTAGCTTGTGTGTTTGCCAGCACTTCGCTACCCTTAGCTTCTACACCTGAAACAATCAGTCATTTAAAATAAGCCCGCAATAAAAAATATCAACAGTATTGTACAGGAACTGAATCATTGAACTTTCTCAACTAATTTCACTGGATCCTATGATGAGTTTAATTTTGTTTTAACAGTAGGATGTAACAAGTTATCTTAGATATAAAGTTAAAACAGCAGAGCATCATTTATGGGCAGTTATAAATACCCACCAAGTCCTAAGAAACTTACCGAAAGTAAGGAAGTCGACAACAATGTCTTTGAAAGTAGATGTTGCTGAATCCGGATAGACTGCAGATACCGCAGCACATTTGTATGTCGCGGGATTTGCAGCTCCAGCTACACTTGTAAGAGTGGCAACATCAATGGTCAGAGTTGATTTCTGAATTCCGTCACCAGCAGAGTCAGCTGTTCCCTGTGCGATGGTGTACCCTCCAGTACCACTTGTTATAGCAACCCCATCATGACCCTTCCACGACACAGCGACATCTGCAGCCACATCTCCGATATCACAAGTCAATGTCTGAGCCACAGCGATGGTGGCTTTTTTAGGAGTCTCCGGATCGACGGCTGAAATAATTTGATTCTTTCAAACTCACAAAACATTTGGTATGTTAAAGTATCATTACATGTAGTTGTAACTAAAATAGCCTAAATTAAGAAAGATTACTGCTGCAAAATTGTCTGCTGTATTTTATGGGTATATTAGTTAAATCAAGAGAGTTTTTAAAATAGGACCACTGTAGGATAAAGGACCAATTTCTGGCGATAATGATTTTTTAAATGGTGGTCTCACGTGGTTGAGGATATTTTTATTATACATTACAAATTATTCACACAGCCTTACTTTTGCACTGTCGAAATTACTAGATTTATCACTTCTTTAAATTGGCGGAATCTTGTCAGTAAATTGATAAACTTACTGAAAATATTCAATATAACCGGAGTTTCCAAACTCTGTACACCACGAGTTACGGCACATTTATAACTTGAATCAGCGGTGTTAATTCCATTTTTGACAGTGAGTGTTGTGGTCTGAGATTTTGTTGCTCCGATGTAATCCCCCTCCACCACTTCGTAGTCTGTCATCAAGGCTGTTATGGTTTCACCTGTTCCTTTCTTCCAAGTAACAGTAGTCAGTTTTTCGAGTAAACCGGTTACATCGCAAGATATAACTACTTGAGATGCAGACAATACTTCCTTGTTGCCGGCAGTTGTTTCTGAAATGATGGAAAACATGTTTTAATCATAACACAGAATGATATTGTTAAATTGCCAAACTAATGTTTAATATTGAATACATTCGGCATTCCAACTTTAACAGTTTCAAAGTTGATATACTTATAGCAAAAATGTGCCCTGCCCAAGCAGCTGAGATGGTTACTACGATTATTATAGTTACTATGATACACTTTAAGAGCATGAGACGTCTGGTTTTCTACTAGTGAAGGCAATTTCAAAATTTGAAGAATGAGCACCAGTACGATACAGATCGCAAAATAGGGGAGGTAGTTCTTTCAATGTTTTGATCGTGTAGCATTAATTTCTCAGAGACATAATGCAAGGATCTAGCAAGGTTACAAACGTTGGACAAGAAAAATCTGTACGCGGTTGATAAGCGGTTAGTAAGCGGTTAGTAAGCGGTTAGTAAGCGGTTAGTAAGCGGTTGATAAGCAGTTAGTAAGCGGTTAGTAAGCGGTTAGTAAGCGGTTAGTAAGCAGTTAGCGGAACAAATCCCTAAGGCTTTACAGTACGGACAGGGCTAGGGTTTCGGGTTGGGTTAGAACAATCAACAAAAGGTGTTTCACTGAAATATAAATATCTTTCTCACCGATAACCTCAAGAGCCATGACTCCAGATATCCCGATAGTTAAATCATAGCACTCGATATGGTCGCTGGTATCAGTGGCCGTTGGTGAACTCAAAGTTAGGGTGCTTTTTCTGGTTCCACTTCCAGTGTCATATGCCTCCTGTACACCAGTGAGTGCATCGAATTTTGGGGTCTCTGCGGACCAATCAGCGGCTCTCTTTTGCCACAGTATATTAACAGTATTATCAGCTGTTGCAACACAGGAGAGAATGACAGATGTTGCAGCAAATGTTCGCACTGTCTCTGCCGAGCTGGTTACAATCTCTGTGGATAGAATGCGGTTAAGACGCAACTTAAAATTTATTGAGGTGATCACAAAAAAATTAAAATTCTCCTAAATTTATTAAATGAACTTGGATGCTTATTTAATCATTTAACTATTTAACAAATTGCGAAACGAAATAATTGTTTACTGTATTGCGAACTTATTTCAAGGTATATCTACGAAAGTTAAAGTGAAAATCATTGAAAAAACAAAATAGTTAAGATTTTCGAAAGTGTATTTCTAACGTTCTTAATTATTGCCGTTCAAAATTATATCCACTCACACAAATAACTTCCGCTAAAAAATTAATTTAAAAAAAGAAAAGAAAAAAGGAAGGTGAAGTGCTGCGATAATTCGCTACAGTGTTAATGAGGATAAAAGTATTTCGGACGAGAAAGACACATAAAACATAATCGGCAGGCAAAAGTAAATGTTAAAATGATACTTACTGTTCATTGTAATGGTTGTTGTACTTTCAAGGTTAGTTCCAGCAGCAAGGCCAGTGTAAGTAGCAATGCACTTGTAAACGCTTGCGTCGTTGGCAGAGGAGATGGTGATGGGGAGAGTACTAGAAACCGAAGAGCTGTCTCCAGCAACCACATCTGCATTAGCTGTCTCAGTGGCAGCGGAGTTTCCTACCATCCACGAGAAAGTCGGAGCAGTGATGTCTGCATGGGACTCTGCAACACAAACCAGGTTGGCGCTACTTGCGGAGTTGCCTCTAGTTGGGGTGACCAGAGGTGTGGATATGGAGAACACAGTCAGGGTGGTTGATGTTGGACTGAACTCCGTTACACTCTTTCTGCACGTGAAAGTGCCCGCTTTGTTTGCTGCGTCAACTGTTATCGCATACTCAGCTTTTGTCTTCCCATCTACGTATGTTGTGGATGTTGCAGCAAGATCTTGGGAGCCATCGTGGAATCCAAGGACAAGTTGATCGGGGGAGGTAACTTGGCAGGTGAGTGTGACAGAAACTCCGGATCCGTAGGTGCTGTAAAGAGCAGCAGGGCTTACCATCTCTACCAGGTTCAAGTTCACATTGGAGAAGACACCTTCAGGTACTGTCGATGTCCCGTCGGCAAAGGCAAAGGTACATTTGTATTCGCCACTCGTGGCTGAATTTGCCAGGGAGAGGATGAAAATATTTGCATCGCTTGGGTCATTACTGTACAGTGAGGCGTCTATTGCGCCATCCGGACCTGTCCATGAAATGCTAGTCTGTACATCGCTGGCATCGAGAGTACAGCTCAACTTTAATCCCAAGTTAGCATAACTGTAGACATCAGCATCTGCTGGGGTCTTGGTGACAAGTCTTACAACTAATGCTCCTTCGGAATGGTAATTCTCAGTGGCAGATACAACAAACATGCACCGATAATTTCCGGCGTTTGCTGTTGTGATACCGGCCGTTTTTATTGTTAATGTTGTCTTGAAGAGCCCGTTAGTGATGGAAGACTCGGTTTCTACGTCGTATGGGTCGGTGTCAGCAATTGGTGTACTGCCAGTATCAACGTAGTCCTTGTACCTGAAGAGAGAGAGAGAATCGTTTTAGTCATAACATTGAATGACATTATATGATGATTATGCTGATTGGAACCAGTAAGTAAACCATCCTGCTTGAATTATTGGAACATCTCTTTTAAGAACATGCTACACAGTGATTGAATATAAAATATTTGCATACCAAGCAGTAGAGGTAGGTACCGCACCATCAGAACCCACACCCAGGGAGCACTCCATCGTGACGGCAGCCCCGATTGAGTAGTATTTGGTATTCAGTCCGGCGTTCAGACCTGAAAATAACAGCTTGAGAAACTAAATTTAAACGTTTAAATTATTGATCAAAATGTGAGTGCACTACACGGGGTATTAAGCCGTACAATATTTCTATGTTTGTTAATATTAAGAAGTTTTTGAGATTCTGAGTCAAGAAGAATGATATCCTTCCAATGTATATAAAAATTCAATCAGTTATCTTATCAAACCAACCTCTGAACTTTAGGACTGTATTTGCAGTAAGTTCCGCTGTAGGGTTGGTGAATGAGTACTTGCAGACAATTGCTTTGCTGGCATCAGAGTAGGTTCGTCCCGATATGGTGAGCTCATCAGACCTGAATTATCAGGTTTATAACTCTTTATAACAAACAAACCTGAATTAGTATAACTGTACTCGTCAACGGTACCCACACGAACAATCTAACAGATTACGCAATACGCTGCTAAGGATAAAATGTTGTACCTTTCATTTGTTCCGGTATTCAAAGTTCCTGGAGTAATGGTTATTCCATCATCAGAGTCCGAAACAATTGCACCAGCTACAGTCCAGGATACAGATGGGTCGTCTGTTCCCTTGTAGTTACAAGTTATGGTGTGCGAGGCGTCGCTGGAGACTTCCTCTGCGGCCAAAGCGTCGACAGCTACAATGTAAGCGTGAATTTTAGGAAAAAAGTTAATAAAAGTAAACATGCAGTTAAGGATTTTGATTGAATTTACTTGTTTTAGCTCACGACCTAAAACACTGAGAATGATACTTCTTCAAACAATGATGATATAAATTAACATTGTTTGTATCAACTTACATCGAACCCTGAAGTTAGTGGTGGATGTGATGTCATCACCAGTTCCTGAGAAGGAGTAAGCACACTTGAGCACTCCTCCGCTGGATTTTATGATCGGGTTCAATGTTAAAACAGATTCCCACTTCTTGCTTCCAGTAACGTAACTTCCCTGAAGTATGTGAAATCGTAATAGGATGATTAAAAATAAAAATTAATAAAAAAAAACCATGTAACTACTCCCGCTATCCGCGGAAATAAAAGGGATAAGACATGATTAAACTTATATCGTAAAGGACCTTAACAGAAAGTTTAATACAGAGTAAAACTTATTTCTAACCTCAGTAATAGTATATCCAGCAGGCAGAGCTGCATCGTTATAAGTCCACGTGACACCATCCACAGCACTGTCTCCGTGATACTCACAAGTGAATGTTTGGGATCCCCCGAGAGCAGTGACAGCTGTATACTCGTCCAGCGACTTGGATAGCTCTGAGATGGTTTTAGCATTTAATTTCATGTATTTTGGTTGTCTGGATAGAGTGGAGAGGGGGTACAATATTTATTGGTTAAAGATACTTCGCCACTTTGTCGTATGTAATCCATATTCCATAATATGCTCTCTTGTGTTTATTCCGATATTATATACCATGTCAATGTATTGATTTTATTGAATGATTTGTTTATTGCTTAAACAAGTAGGCTAACCTCGGATGTAGAGAGTTGCAGTTGTGCTTTCTCTAGTAAGGGTCGCATCTCCGATAGCGTACACAGCCTCGCATTTGTAAACACCCGCATTGGCCATGGTGGCACTGAAAAGTTGTACATTAAAATTAAAATTTCAGAGAAACGCCCTGATGATAACACAGGCCATGGTGTTCTTAACTCCTTACAATTTATTATGATGTTGTCACAACTCACATGATATAAGATACTATACTGTGGTGAATTAGAGGATTATTGTTCTTCTGAGTCAATAGGAGAAAAGTCATCCACGATGCACCAGACAAATTACGCAATTTATTACTCTGTTCAATGAAAGTAACTTAAATGTGACGGTCAAACTCACGATGAGAGTGTCAAAGTGGATGTTCCAGGGTTAGCGTTATCAAAGTTGATGAGGGACACGTCCATAGCGGTGCTGGTTCCATCCACAACCTTGTACCAGCTGAGACTGGTGGTGGCACTATCTGGGTTCTTAACCGTACAGGACAGTTCAGCGTCCTCCCCAACAAGATGGGCAACATCAGTAGGGTTTATTGTTATACCAATATCTGTGGGAAAGGAAACTGTTACGGATCAATTCATATAACCAACTGAACGCATATAACGAGTATTTACTGAATCAGAAGAGGCTAACAGAGCGATTGGAGATCAAGTTGGTGGGAGAACCAATGAAATCTTCAAAGAGGATAAGTTGACATTTTCAAAAATAATTAGTATCATCTTCCATATAGTTTTAGTATAGCAGAAGAAGCAAAATCCCTACCATAAACAGCAATGGTAGCAGTGGCACTCTCAACAGTAGTTCCTCCAAAGTCGGCTGTGCACTTATACACTCCACTATCGGCCTCTGCTGCAGTGGCGATTGTAAGGGTGCTCGTCGTTTTCGGGTCAGCGTAGGTATCTATATCACCAGACACGGGAGATGCATCTTTTGTCCTGATTGGATTTAAAGTAAGCTTTTGTGTAATGTTGACTTTGGTTGAAAACAAAATTGGGGCGAGCTAAAGAGCTGATTGTCACAGGCGAGGAGCATGAAAGAAACGAATCGGGTAAAAGGCATTATATTATAGTTATTGTGGATAAAACTCTATACATAATCAGTATCACAGAGAATGCCTGGAATATCTTACCATGTGATGGTAGCTTGTACGTCTCCAACAACCACGCAACTGATTTCAAGTTGAGATCCTAGGTTAACATTGGTATCAACTGGGTCAGTTTCAAATCCTCTGACTGTAACATCAATGGTTCCAACCAGGGATACTGCATTAGAACCGTCACTGTGGGAGTATTCGGCAGTGCATGTATAGGCTCCTGCATCAGCTAGTGCCAGGGTGGACAAGGATAGAACGCTGGTGTAGGCAGAGTCGGAGGTGGAGGTCGTAATTCCGGACGTTATCTGAAGGGTGAGGAGGGGTGATGAGGGGGCAAGGGGGGTAAGGGGGGTAAGGGGGGTAAGGGGGGTAAGGGGGGTAAGGGGGGTAAGGGGGGTAAGGGGGGTAAGGGGGGTAAGGGGGGTAAGGGGGTAAGGGGGGGGTGAGGAAATAAGTGTGTAGCCCATTTTGGTCTGTACTCTGTACAAGGGACATTGGGGTAACTCGTTCATTTTTAGCAATTAGCCTCTTCGTGTCGATCATCAATCCCTATTGCATAGCTTTTTAAACAATTAATTAAAGTAAAAATAAAAAGTGTACTAACATCGGCGCCTCCGTCTAATTTCCAGGTTACTGCTCGTGTTACGAAAGTTTCATCCAGATTCATCGCACAGGACAGTTGAGCACTTGCTGCCGCCAACAGGATTTGGGCGGAGTCAGGTGTCACGACGAGACCTAGAAAAGTGTAAATTTAGATAACTTTAACATTCAGGGATATCACCATCACGTGGTAACATGTATTTACTGAAAATATCGTGCATCATAGACGAAACAAGTGTTTCAAGCAATCAGCGAATGACATTGCAGATAAAATAATATATTCTATGGTAAAATAGTTACCTAATATAGCTAGAGCTTGTTCGGCAGATTGGTCGTCCAAAATAGGGTCGGCGTAGTCCACTTTGCAAGAGTATGAGTCTACATCAGCAGAGTCAAAGTTGAGAATGCTCAGATCAGATGTTGACTGTTTTGTTTCGCCATCAGCTTCAAAGCTGGTGGCCAAGGTCGTGGCAATAGTATAAGCAGAGTCATCACTCACCAAAGCAGTTCCAGAATCACCTTTAAACCATAGGATACCATCTCCAACATCGTGTGCTTTCACAACACATGAGACAACACCGCTGTCACCGGATTTGATTGAGGGTGATGGGGCGGAAACTGTCACCTCTGAAATACGCATATTCCATTTAAGACCACTATAAAAAACGAACGGTATTCAAATAATTCAAGTTCGTCAATTAATCAACATTTGATTCACTGAGTTGTAATGTGAACATTTTTTATCTGACTAAACATGTACTACTCACGTCTACAAGAAGCAGGGAAGTTGTTGGTGGAACTGGAACAGACTATGGTCTGTGAAGCGGCGCTACCGTAGGTGTAATCAGTATCACAAGTCATTTCTACGTTGCCTCCCTCCGCTACACGAGATACAGGATCTGTACTGGCTACGAATTTCACCGTGGGCACGGTACAGACGGCTGAAAGCAGGTTTGAGTAAAGAAAATGATTAAGTTAAGTTGAGCTAGTGGCTTTTTTAGTAAAAAGCGTGAATCAAGATAATACGCATACAAATTTTTAAAAGTTAACATACCAATACAATCAGCACTGCTATCTGAGCCAATGTCCAAGGTACCAAGTCCTCCACCACAGGCTGTACATTCTGTTGCTTCATTAGCACTGTACGTGTCAAGGGCGCAAGAAGTACAAACTTGGTTATCAGGATCAGTAGTAGTGTCAGCGTAGGTTCCTGCTGTGCACGAGGTACAGGTATCGTCAGAGTTTTGGATCTGACCACTTTCACAACCCGTCTGCACAACGTCTTCAGTATCAGCATTTGCGAAATCATTCGGGTCAAAACGCTTCTTACGACTGTGTCCCTCCTGAAATTGAAATATTGTAAGACGTGCATTCATCAAACCGGCTCAAAATTAGTACATATATTAGAATTGAGATAAATTCGAATTGAAACAAATTATCAAACGTGGATACCCTCGCGAATATGAAATACGACAACAGATTAGTAATATTAACATACCGATGGACCACTAAGCATCGCATGAAGTGGATAAGAGTTGAGATAATCGACTGCTGTCTCCAGAATGAGCCTCTGTCCCTGGACGTTCTGCGCTGATGTAGATGTAACCCTGACCGACAGGAATGTGTTTTCATCAGTAGCTTCACAAGACAGATCGCTGATTTTGCATTCTTCAGTTAAAACGCAAGGCAGGGACGTGGTGAGTCTCTCGTTGAAAGAGGAGATGACCTCTTCCTTAGAGGAAACATCGGAACACCCTTTAAAGTTGGGTCCGAGTTTGAAGCGCTGCATGACTGGTTGAGGAGTAACACCTGGAAATATTATCAAATGCAGGATTAACACGGAATAGGTTATGGTGGCAAGGTTCACGAGCGAATGTAATTTGCGGAGGAAATCTTTCAGTCCGAAAAACACAGTAGACATCAGTAGAGTGTTAAGGAAACTTACGAGCGCATCGGATGATAGGCATCCTGTCTCGGTGATGGTGACTCCACCTCCAAGTTCCTCGCTTCTCGTGATACGTACACCTGGTATAAACGTTTTGATAATCGTACAATAACGTGGTTTAACGAACTTTATATCACGTGATCTCACTTCCGATATCTATATTTTATTCCACCTCTTTGTGGTTTATCTTCAAGTACTAGGAGTATAAATTACTTAAACATGGATATTCTTTAAAAAATTAAATTTACCTCATTTCAGCAAAGCGCTCGTCGATGAGGACAAAGCCCTGTTCATTGTCACAGATTGCCTGGGCAACTATGTCATTTCCATCTTTGGTAACTGATAAATGTCCTGCTTTCACATCGCTCCCATGTCTGCAAAGGAAAAAGATTTTTTAAAACTTTACTCGATTACGTACTCCATGTGGCTAATGAATAGTTGCTCGATCGTTTTAAAATAAAATTTAAAAGTTAAAGATAAATAATTTATGTATTTAAAAAAATGGAATTTGTCGTACCTGAGAGGGTGTTGAGCTACAGGATCTTGTAGGGCGTTACAGTCGCCGAAATCGTAAGAGTCTGCTGTGACTCCCTAAAAAACGCAAAATTTGTATTAAAACTTAAGTCAATGCTAGATTTACGTTTAATTTACGAATTAATTTCAATGATAAGTTGAGTCTTGTGACTGAATTCGATGACCTGTTTCCTGTAAAGATAAAACTAAATTATTTATTGTGCAAAAAACGATTAGGATTTGATATGCTTTAAGACTTACCGCAATCCAAACAAGAAGAAGAATGTGTTGCTTCATCAACACTATAATACTTTTGTTGAACTTCTGTGACTATTATTGACAATAGTTTCTTGTACTACTAACTCTACAAATGTGGTCGTGTTAATAAATATAAGAATCGTTTTAAAATCAAAAACATATAATCAGTATTCAGTATGCTATCCTAATTATGGTCAACTATTTATTGGCAACAATTTATTTTACACTTCGAAGCATAAGAGTGGAATGCGGACAAGACGTATATATGTTGAAATTTTATTTATTTGTTGAAATTATTGATCCCCTACGACTAAAATGAAAATGTGGTCCTAATTGATAGCGAGAGCGAAAAAAATTGAAATAATGTCAATGACATATGTCCGACTGATACCCCAGTTATAGTCTGCCTAAAAAAGAAGCAACGCAAATTGTTAGAAACAATGAAAGCTAAATAATACAATTGCGTCGACCTTACGTCAGCAGGATCTTAAAAACAATGAACCATTGTCCGCCCCTCCCACTTGTCTCCCCTACACTTCCCCTATAGTTCACAATCGGCGGGGTCTACGGTGCATGAAAGGTGAATAGAGTTGCTATTTCGGGAGAAAGAATGGAATGTCCCCACGTACCAGCAGACACGTATAAAGCGCTAACGATAATTTCATAGATCATGGTGACGTACTAAATTGATAGCATGGAAAAATTATCGAATGATCTAAAGTTTTATCGGACTTAGGCAGAAGTGAGGAGGAAAAAAAACGAGCAAACTTATTTAGAAGATGGAGGTTGAACAGTGCGGAATGTGGACTGAGGAAGTTGCTTTTATGCGTAGTGTTTACTTAGCACGACTTGGACCCGTCCGGCAGGACCACTTAATTGTTTTCATAACGGGAGAAACGTTACGTTACCGTCAACTCAAAGGCGCTCTTTGTTTGGTTAAGAAGAAACACTATTCCCTAACGAGTACAATCGATATGAACCGTGACAGGCTCACCCACCTCATCTACACATACAAAGTAAACAGTTTGTTTTCAGTTCATGACTCACTTCCGCTTAAAAGAAAAATATTTATGTTTTCGATTTAGTTTGCGGTTTCAGGTGACTTGTTTCACCACAGAGAGTTTGATAGAACTAGAAGAGGCAATAAGCGAACTTTAACCTTGGTGGCCTACCAATTACCATTAAGAGTCACTGTTATGGCATTTACCATGCTAATTGATTATCAAGCAGTGATGAGGTTGTTCACCTTCACCTTACTGTATGGATTTGTGCAAACATTTCACATGTCATCAGATGAGTTGGTGTACACCTTGTTGATCAATGGGAACAGCTACGTCGCCAGCAATGAGGCAGAGAGGAGAAGTAGCCAGCAATGAGACAGGGAGGAGAAGTAGCCAGTAATGAGGCAGAGAGGAGAAGTAGCCAGTAATGAGACAGGGAGGAGAAGTTGCCAGCAATGAGACAGAGAGGAGAAGTAGCCAGCAATGAGGCAGAGAGGAGAAGTAGCCAGCAATGAGGCAGAGAGGAGAAGTAGCCAGTAATGAGACAGGGAGGAGAAGTTGCCAGCAATGAGACAGAGAGGAGAAGTAGCCAGCAATGAGGCAGAGAGGAGAAGTAGCCAGCAATGAGGCAGAGAGGAGAAGTAGCCAGTAATGAGGCAGAGAGGAGAAGTAGCCAGCAATGAGGCAGAGAGGAGAAGTAGCCAGCAATGAGGCAGAGAGGAGAAGTAGCCAGTAATGAGGCAGAGAGGAGAAGTAGCCAGCAATGAGGCAGAGAGGAGAAGTAGCCAGCAATGAGGCAGAGAGGAGAAGTAGCCAGCAATGAGGCAGAGAGGAGATGTTGCCAGCAATGAGGCAGAGAGGAGAAGTTGCCAGCAATGAGACAGGGAGGAGAAGTTGCCAGTAATGAGGCAGAGAGGAGAAGTAGCCAGCAATGAGACAGGGAGGAGAAGTAGCCAGTAATGAGGCAGAGAGGAGAAGTAGCCAGTAATGAGGCAGAGAGGAGAAGTTGCCAGCAATGAGGCAGAGAGGAGAAGTAGCCAGCAATGAGGCAGAGAGGAGAAGTAGCCAGCAATGAGGCAGAGAGGAGAAGTAGCCAGCAATGAGGCAGAGAGGAGAAGTTGCCAGCAATGAGACAGGGAGGAGAAGTAGCCAGTAATGAGGCAGAGAGGAGAAGTTGCCAGCAATGAGACAGGGAGGAGAAGTAGCCAGTAATGAGGCAGAGAGGAGAAGTTGCCAGCAATGAGGCAGAGAGGAGAAGTTGCCAGCAATGAGGCAGAGAGGAGAAGTTGCCAGCAATGAGGCAGATAGGAGAAGTTGCCAGCAATGAGACAGGGAGGAGAAGTAGCCAGCAATGAGACAGGGAGGAGAAGTTGCCAGCAATGAGACAGGGAGGAGAAGTAGCCAGCAATGAGGCAGAGAGGAGAAGTAGCCAGCAATGAGGCAGAGAGGAGAAGTCTCCCTTCATGATTAAATAGCTTTGCCTACCCTGACAATATTTTCCAAAGAGCTATTAGTAATTTATGCCTCTAAGGCTATTTTGTACCCAGGATGCCAGATAATGTGGCAAAATGCTTCAATTTTTCAAAGGTTTTCCAGAAGCTCCGCTCCCAGGCCCTCCACCGGGTCTCGCCTCCCTCCGGGTCTCGCCTCCCTCCGGGTCTCGCCTCCCTCCGGGTCTCGCCTCCCTCCGGGTCTCGCCTCCCTCCGGGTCTCGCCTCCCTCCGGGTCTCGCCTCCCTCCGGCAGATAATTCGGCAGATAATCCTGGCTACGTTTTTGGGAGCATCAGCTGATCAATCAGGCTATTTAGTATGCGAACTTATACTGAAAGTGATATATATGATCATTTCCTTGTCATTATGGGAATCATGTTAATGTTGGCTGAAACTCCTCCCAAATTATTTTGAATTTTGGTGTATTTTAACCGTGTCAAATTGGCAAAAAACTGTATCTACTTCGGACACAAAGTGTTCACTGTCCAATGAGCATCCTGCTATGCTGCCAGCTACCATTGTGTTACTATCGTGGTTGCCACATGACAGCTTACCTAACTGCTATTGGACAGCGCACTTTTGTCACGTGACGGTTTGGTTATTGATACTTATTGAGTACTGTATTTCATAAATCACATTCATCAAATGCAGTACTCCATAAATGTTAAATTCCCGTTAAATTCCTTTATGAAAGTAATTCCTTGGCGATAGATACTCCTCTAATTTCCAACGATTACAGCGATATTTCAATCTTGACTCAACCGGGTCAACCCTTGCTGTGTCTCATATATAAGGATGTGAATTGTGAAAATGATTTTGCTTGAGCATGAAATCCAGCCCTTCTCGTTGGCTAATATAGGTCACATAACACGTTATCAATATCTATGAAGTGACTGTATACCTCGTGACTGCGTCCCTCTGTTACCACGTGCCCGACAAACTAGTGCAGTACCATAATGATAGTATTCTTTTGTGACATAAAAGAAATATCAAATACTTGATCGGAGAAAGTTGTTAAACCACATTACTCTGTTCTGACGACAGAGATGAATTGTCCAGAACGCTTACTCAATCATCAGTGCCAGGAGGCATCTAAGATTCCTTTTTGTGATCTCAGTCCGTTAAATGAATCAACAGAAAGCAGCCGTTAATAACTGACCGGGAATCAGATATCATGTACCACGTAACAGCTTAGGTATCACGTTCAATTAGGAAGAGGAGGTATAATGATGACCTTGGCACCCGTATTTATTAGATCGATCGGATAAGAAATATGTGCCCAGTGAAAGCAGACGAGATCAATCTAATTTAGCAAAACCAAAGCGGATATTATAGCTTTGTCACTTTATTCAGCGCTGCTATTTTCAAAGTTATGAATTGGAATGTACATGGACAAATAACTTTTCAATTCCTGATCGAATGAATCGACATTTTGACACCGGCATGGATTTGTGAAAGATGATAAGCAATTATCGTTAGAGACTGAAATCGTACGACTGAATCATACGACCAAATCGGGGTTTTTTGCGGAAAGTCGTGTTAAGGTTGATGCCGCGGTGTCAGTAAAATGGCACAGATGTATAAACATATATATAGCGTCTTGCTTTATAATTACTAGCAGGAACCCGTATAACCCTAAAATGGTGTCAAGACTCAAGAGACTAAAATAATTATTACCTATTTAATTCGCGTTTTTGACACCACTTGGGGGTCCAAATTTTGGGCTCTAAAATTCCTATTCCTTGGCCGATTTTTTATTTTTTCATGCTGATTTGGAGGCCATTAAAGTATTTCACCCAGTCAAAAAAGTTTCAGTTGTATACTTTTACGGTTTTTGCGGAAAGTAGCGTTAAAGTTGATGCCGTGGTGTCAGTAAAATGGCACGGATAAACACATATATATCGTCTCGCTTTATATATAGTAAGATATATAGTAAGATTAATAACCCCAATAAATATGTGTGCACGAGTGTAATTTACGAGTGGCTTAATCAAGAAAACGCTTAAAGTTGGGGGGTTGATTTTTTTCGTTAAAGTTCCAACAAATCTTTGACGTAGCCAAATAGCCTAAGTTTTTTAAAACCTAGGTTGTGGCGCTGTTAAATGTTATGGCTGAAACGGTTCCAGTGGCAGAACTGCTAAAGATGGTTTGGAACTCCCGTATTCGTACGTGATTTCGAGATATGTGGATGTAAATGGTTAAACGAATTGTTTCAAAATTTTGGAAATCCTCCGCGCACTCGATAATTTTCAAACTCAAATAGATCCGCATCGAGGAATTAAAATGAAATTAAGAAATAAGAGGAACGACCTGCACGTATATTCCATTGTAATATATAGTATAATTGTATCAGTGGAGTAATTTATAAAGTGCATTAGCAGACTAACAACATAGACTGAATTGAAAAATGTTGATGATCTAAGCAAATTCAAATATCTAAATCGAATAATCCAAGGATTTCACCTCAAACCAGGACTTTGTACTGAACTGCCAGTCATTCTGTTTTACACGGCAGTTAAATCCATTTAAAATACGAGAATAAAGTAGAACAAAACCTAGTTTTCTCTGATAACTCCAAATAATTAAGATCTAGATCAACAATTCTACGTATAGTATGCAAAAA